TTGAAAAGGCTGTTCCTCATTGTGCAGTGGGCCATAATGATGGTAAAACACTTGTTCTCGAGAAGCACTGTTATAAGTTGCTGTCAGTTATTTCTGATGACTACTATTTACCAGTGTCCAAAATTTTTTCTCTTTTGGAGGCGCTGCAGACATCTCTAGTTCTTTTTCTTTGCTGTCAGAATCTTTGCAAGCGATTCTGAGATATCCTGAAATGTCACTTCAAATTATTAGTGGAAAACACCTATGGTTGTAAAAATGCATTGCTCCTGTTTCTTAAAATTTCCAAATGTACAGTATTTCTTATGCATTCTAACCCACGGTTACCATGTGTAAGTGTAAAGGAGATAAGGATGAACTAGAGATGGTCTTTTTCATTTACTCAAAGGGACCAGTTTGATAAAAGATGTCATCAACTTTGCAGGTCGTCTCTTCATTGACCAGGTAGCTAAGCATTCGAATAGGCTTCTGTGAAGTGAAGCACTGGGTTTTTACTCCTCTTTTCCCACAAAAAGCCCCTGAAGTCACTGGTATAATGAGAATTAAGCTTTAGCCTCTGGGGTTTATAAATCAAGAGCTGTGTGCACGCGCTCTGCTTTGTGCTATGGTTGGGGCCTGTTCCTTTGAGCAGTCTGGTCCCAGTTCCCCCAGACAGTTCATGGATTAACTAAATGGGAAGTAAAACAACTGCAGGCAAAGTAGAAGACATCCCTTGTATAGTCTGCCTAGTGTGGTGTATATCCTTTCCTGATCTGGTTGAGTGTGTGAATTCCAGAACAAGAGCAGATGCCAAAGACCAACCATGAACAGGGCAAGCGTGTGGGGATCCTTCCCTGGTGTGTAGACTTTCAGTCCTCAGAAATTTGAGGCTAGTGGCTTTTAAAGGTTTTGCACTTGTATTTATTAGCCTTAAGTGACCTTTCTTCTGTTTAATCTGTCCAGTTGTTTGGATCTCAAGTAAACTTTAGCATCCCCTTGCTTCTAATGGAAATACATTGCAATTCTCCTCCAGCTAGGAAAGTCTACGAGTAGCGAATGTCATCGTACCTGCTACGTTGTTATCAACTTTTGTTATCAACTTTTTCTATCTGAACAAAAGCAAGTAGAGTGGAAGCGTGGTTTTGAATCAGAAAGTTTAACATTTAAATGGATGTGAGTTGGCTTGGGTGTTAATACATCACTGAGATAAATGGCATGGAGGAGAGTTTATTTCTTTGGTGCTGCGATGCTAGCAGGAGAGTGTGCCCTGTAATTGATTAACAGGGCATAGTACACTGACTTATATAAGGAAAGCCATTATACCTCAGTAACAAGAAGGTATATATGATTCTGGTTTTAGTACGTTAAAAAAAAAAAAAAAAGATTCTGCAGGAAATAACTAAAACTGCTGAAAGAGCCAAAGGTTCCTAAGGTTGTTTTTTTTTTTTTTTAAATCTGTAGCGTAACAGCATTTTCTATTGCAAAGAAAGTTTAAATACTACAATATATTTTGTGAAACTTTCATATGGGGTTAGAAACACTAGCTAGTGTAAGCAGCCCTTTAACTTTTTTCTGTAGGGCCTACAGCCATGAGTTATTGATGGGATTTAATACCTTTTTTAACATGTCTATTCACTTTAAATAAAATTCTTTCCTAGAACTCTGTCTAAAAACAAACAAAAACAAAAAACCAGACAAATCTGCCCTCTCATTTAGGTTTCAAAACATATGGAAGTCTCCAGTGAGAAAGTGAGGTATTGGTTGGCCTCCCAAAGCAGGTGTGGGAAGAGAGCGTGGCTCTAAATAACAGTGAGGGAAACCTAAATCAGATATTCTCCTTTTTCCCCAGTACTGGTCCTTCTAAGCAAGCTGAAAAAGCAAAAGGTCCAGATTCAGTACTCATAAAACACACATACCCCAAACAAAACGTGTTCATGAAAGGCTGTAAAAAATTGTGACCACAACAGCGATTACAGAGTGATACTGCCTACAGGCTTTTATTGTCTTTTGGACTATGCCAAGCTTGCCTGTCGTATTCCTTTGGTCCAGGAGGAGGTGTTAGTGGAAGCGAGAGACAGGCGAGGCTGTGCAGGGGAGTGATGACTTAAAAACTAGTCCCATTTCTGAACAAGGTTTTACATACTTCCTTTTGCTTAGATTCATCACCTGTAGCAGTAAGTACTATGTCAAAGTAAGAAGAGGAGGTAAAGATTTCCTCAATAGTTACTGGGATCTGTGAGACAGTAAGTTCTCCTGAATTTCTGCTATTTGGAGATGTGTTTTTCCAGCTATGATGGGTTGTTTCTGAACATGTTTTCTAAAATACAGCTTTTTTTTTTCCTACAGTTTGAAATTAAGATTCCAGTGCTACTTAACCCTCCCCCCCTTTTTTGAGCTGTTCTGTTGTGTAATAGGGTAGCTCTTTTGTTTTACAAATATTGCTAAAATGCCATGACCAGTAGTTTCCCATTATGCTCAATGATCTATCAAATTGCAACAGTAGTGAATTTTTTTTTACTGCTAGATCTTCCTATTCCTGATATTCTTCTGCAAAGATACAAGGTTTTCTTTTTTCCCCTTAAAGAAAACGATGAGTAAGAAGCGCTATGGTCATCTAGAAAACATGGGACTGTGGGCGTGTGTTTCGGAGGAGGGGGAGAAATCATATAAACTTAAGAATTTGATTTAAATACAGAAAATCCCTCTCAGATATAAATTTAACAGATTTTTTCTGGAAGCGTGAGGAATGACGGATCAGATGCTATATAACAAAAAGGTTTTATAAGTGTTCAGATTTGGTTCCTTTGGCATTGCTACCCATGCATGAGATAAGCCCCATATTGGGTAAAGTAGGCTTACTGATTCCTAGGGAGGATTACACGGGACTGATAACACTTTTTCTGTACTCTTACTGCATATGTATGTGTATGTTAATAACTGTGTGTGTACATATATATACACACACACACACACAAAAAAATAAGTGTGAGCACATTTGGGCTATATTACATAAATAAATGTATGTAATTAGATTTGTCTCTAGCTTCTTGTTTTTTGTTTTTTAATTTGATTACATTTTCCAGTGTAACTAGTGGCTTAATTTCTTTTTTTTATAGCTGATTTTAATAAGAGTTCATGTGGAAATGTATGGGGGGGGGGAGAATGAAGCTGAAAAAATAAAATTTTCAACTTAAGCTTGCAGTATTCCTGAGGACCTGCTTTTCCTTTGCAGTAACTACTCTGTTAGATAAGCATGGGAAAAAGCTATAAAGAAGTTTCGCTAAGAGTACTTAGCGCACTTCTTAAGTGATCTCTTATTTTTAAATGTCTTTTCTGTTTTTATCTGTGCAGCAGTATTAATGACAAATGACTAGTTTTAGCTGGCTAAAAGCATGAAGTGGCAGAGAGCGCTTTGTCAGCAGCGTATAAGTTGGGGGGAAAAAAAAAAAACAACAAAACAACCTCCCCCCCACCCCCCCAAAAAAATCTTAATAGGTTACCAAAAACGTCAGCAATGCTTTTTTGGCAACTTGCTCTGCCCACTGCCAGCCAAGATCTTACAGTCGGCCTGTCCACGTAGGCGCTGTTTGGAGGGGCGAGGGGGCGGCGAGGTGCCTCTCCTGTGGTATGAACGCTAATGCTTAAAACCGTCTATCTTCCCGTGTCAAAATGCTGCCATTAAATACGGCCTTAGTGAACTTTTTAACGGCACTGGGGTTGGCCTTTAATTTAGTGTAAAGCAAGTGCCCTTTACTCTTGCCTGGATACGCGTATGAATTTTTTCTCCCTTAAACTATGGGAGGTTCGTGAAGGCGTCTTATTTGGTTAAATGTCAGAATACCGATTCACGAACTAGGGTCCTTCTGTACTGCCGTGCTTCGATCTCTGTCGCTGTGTAAGTCATTTTATTTTTCCTTACGCGGCACTGGAAGTTGTAGGAGCCCCATCTTATACATGGCTTGCTTCACTTGCATTTCCTATTTTTATTTAAAATTCCTCTTTTGAGGATGGGAGTAATTCATTCTCTGCACGTGGTGCAAGCTCAGGGGCTGGGTAACCAAAGGCTTGTACCAAAGTTACCTGGCGTGGCGGTGTTGGGGATGCTGCCCAACATCGGGGAGGACCTGCTGTTTTCCGGGTGCCTAAACTGAGGGTGTTTCCCTTTAAAGCAGACCCTGTGTTGCTCTGTGTGTGTGTGTGTATATATATATTATATATATACACATTAAATCTATGTATTTCACACATCGGTTGGAGTGACTGAGGAAAAAAAACAGAGCAAAGAGCAGTGCATTAACTGCTCGAAGCATTTGAAAAATCAGCAGCCAGCTTTTTCGTTTGAACTTACGTAGTTTGTAGAAAAAACGACAGCAGATGATTCCTTTTAAACTTTTTTCTTTATTAGAAAGGCAAAGATTTGGATCATTTTTTTCCCCATCTATCTTAGATGTTAATACCAAGTTAATCTTCTTTATACTAAGCAAAATAGAAGTGAAGTGCTCAAACGGATTATAGAGATTATACTAAAAAAAAACTATTAAAAGATTATTTCCTTAACTTATTTGCTCAGTAAATTGGTAATATGTGGTAATTCATAGGCATTGATTCATGTATACTAATTTATTTTTTATTAAAATATCAGATTATCAGCACTTCTATCACAGAACTAAAAGTTTACCTTATCTGCTTTTCATGAAGCTTTCACAATAACAATTACTTTTTTTTTCTTAATAATATCCTTAATAAGAGTGGTGGCCTACAGTTAAGGATTAGTATTACCAAACCGTGTTGAAGTCTTTATGGAAAAATTGTTAGTTTCCTTTAGCTTTATTTTTCCATGTGTAATCTAAAGTGGGCCGATAGCGTTTTCCTACTACTCGGAGACCTTTGCATCCAAAGGCATCCCCCACATACAAAAATAAGGAGGCTGGGGTATTACTCAAAATAAAAAGACAGACTGCATTGCCCCTTAGTGTGTCTGACTGAATGACAACATGCAGCAAATCTGTTTTCTTGCGTTTCAGAAAAATGCGATGAACCTCTGGTCTCGGCACTCCCCCACTCTTCCTTCGGCAGTTCGTCGTCTATGACAAGCAGCTACGTGCCAGGATACGCTAAGCTCAACAAAAGAGGAGGTAAGGACTCGCTCTATCGTATGTTCGGGGCCAAAACAACGTTGGGCAGTATTTTTAAATCAAAAGCATTTTCATCTTAAAATACTAGTGCTAATGTTTGTTTCAGGTGTCTGACAGACCGTTTTATAACGGGAATGTGTCTCTTCTCCATTGAGTTTGACAGTAATTGCACTCCATTGCACCACAGAGAAAACCGTGCTACTAATAACATGTACCAGCATGGGCCAAATTTCTAATGTTGATGAAGTTGCACCACACAGTTGCATGATGGCCTTCAGTTAAAAGGGCATACCGTGTTCATAGGGCAAACGAACACTGGCAGTGCCATGCTTGCTGGAGCAAAACTAAATAGCCTTGATGTGCTTTACTGATTTCACTTGTTCCCCACCTTATTAATAATTGCTATCATTCAGCATTTCTAGTGCCTTAGGAAACTTACCCCTTGCATGTTTTTCTGTGAAAACAATGCAGTATTGTTCAGAAATAACCAAGCTAACTTGACATGTGGTTACTGGAAGCATAGGTGCATAAGTATGATGCTCTGTCTGGTGTAATTATATCCTTAGAGGTATGCAAATTTATTCCAAGGCCTGAATGCAAGTTTTAAACTTCACCCGTAGGAATTTTCTTGGTTTTCTTGCTATTTCTAGATGCCTGTGCACATACCATTTTGATATCGATCTCAAATTTCACAGGAATATGACACGCTTAAACATGAAGCTTTAGATTAACAGAAAATTATTGCTCTGAATGCTGTTCATTTGATTTTCTTCTAAATAATATCAGTCTAAAAGATCTTACTAAAATTCAACAGGTTCTTGGAGAGTTAACTTGTGAATTGTTTCCCAAAAATGTGTGTCTGGGGATATAACGAGCTGGCGTTGGGGAGTGGGAATTAAGAATTCTTTTGAGTTCAGGGAGGAATAAGAGACCAAGGGACTACAGTGCCCCAGTCTTGCGAACCCTGAAAATCCATAACAGTGGCAAAACACCAGTATTGTAGAAGGTTGGCTTATTTGCACTGCTTCTCTAGTTTTCCTACTCCTGCAGGAATTATGTTGCTCCTACCCAGACCATATTCTATTTCCTCAGAAAACAAAAACCAATGAAACAAAATAGGCAATCTCTTTTTCTTTGGGGATTTGCATACAAAATCTGAAATGTTTTCAGCTGGTGGAATACTCTTGAAGTTGGAAGCAGGATTCATTGCATCCAAATTACAGCCTAGGTTGCCCATGTTCTCCACCAGCTTTTTAAAACGACAGCATGTGGAATTTCTGAGATGAAGAAAGGCGTCTTATGAGCAAGCCACAACTTTGCTGTTAGCCTAATTCAAATCTTAACAGTATAATCAAAAATAGATATTTACCTAGACCTGATTATTCCAAAAAATGAGAAAGGAAAATAAAAATACTATTACAGAGGAAAAGTCCTGATTTAAAAAAAAAAAAAAAAGTATATAATACATATACACGTGCTCCCTCGTGTCTACTCCTTTCTGCAGTAATTCTGGGTCCAGCAGCACATGGCTGCAGCTGGGATGGGAGGCTATGGTGGGTTGCAAGCATCCCAAGCTCTTTGCTGGGAGGACAACACAGACATTGATATTGATGGTGAAGGGAGTCTTTCCTCCTCATGGGAAGATCTGCCCAGGGTTGGGTTTTTTTTTTGTTTTTGTTTTTTTAATGCCTTTTTCCAACACACACCTTGATTTCCAGGAAGCGGGGCTGTGCTGACCTGTAATCCCCAAGCAGGGTGGGCAGTGCTGGTGGCACGGACAGGTTGTTGATTGTCTAGAGGTCACCCTACATGAGGGGATGAGTTAGGTCTGAGGTCAAGCCAGGAAGCCCAGTCAATCAGTTGGGAAG